CTATATAATGTGCGATCCAACTATTGCCTAAGTGCGTAAGCATGTGAAGTATGGATGTATGTGTAACTCGACATTGGTCCAATAATATCTATACGCACAGACATAATTGAGATACCATCAGATGTGTGAAAATATATATATATATATATATATATATATATATCTGCCTACGGTTTACCAGGCAGTTCTCTTTGTGACGATATATATATAGATATAGATATAGATATAGATATAGATATATATATAGATATATATATATATCACTTGGTTGTCTGACGATATTTTCCAGTGCTCACACACAGACATTCTTAAATACGGCCACACATGCATAAGAACAGGGGGAGACGATTTTGATTTTTAAAGTACCTAACCACCCATACAATATAAAACATGCCCATACATGCATAACAAGAGGGGAAGAGGTGACAGAGTCAAAACTGCACACAGACAAGGATAAGCAGCGGAATTCAACCCTGCACACATGGGGGAGGTCACACAATGACTCTCACTCTCCGACAGACTCCCGACAAACAATCACAATAAAGAACCTCAGCAAAATCACAATTGATATGATGCTGATAATGAGCCAACTCGAACAAATATCATAACACAGTTTGTTACAGTCGCTTCGTCCCCTATCGATTTCCCTCATTCTACTAATAGAGTACAGTACTCTAACCTACACGTAGACCGGACTGACTAACCGACCAATACCTTTTGAGTTTCGCCCTCTCGGCCTCCACCGGACCCGACTATAGGCTATAGGACCGTCCATCAGCTCTGGCCATTAGGGCCTGTCTGTCCTGGGGGTAGTCCGGGCCTGCTATTCGCAGTACGTGTACGTATAGGAAATTCGAAATAATGTTGGGCCTATATTTGGCATATTTACAGATGTGACCCTCACGAATTTGCCTCACAGGTTGGTCTCACGGTTACGCCCGAGTCAAACGAAATTACAAATCTAACCCTACGGGGTAGTATATAGCCTCGCACTCAGTCTTCGCAGTCAGACTGAATATATATATATATATATATCGTCACATATATAGATATATATATGTATGTATATATACATACAATCAACATGTCAAACTAAAAAGCCAGCAATTATAAAAGTCGCATGTACAAGATTCTACGACATAACATAATGCCAGTCGTCGAACAACTCGACATCATCTGCGTCCGATAGAGAATCACATGATCGATTGGACACGGCATCCGCCGGTCCAGGCAGCCCATCCCTGTCGCCAAGGATGAAAACATCATCATCCCCCACAACGTCAGGATCTGCAGTTGAAGCAACGTCGTCCTCGTCACGGGCAATGGTATCCTCTCCTCTGCAAAAAAGATCGCGAGGCAGAGGAGGTGTCGAGGACCCGACCTCGCCCGACACATCACAGTCGTCGTACTCGAGAAGGCGTCGAGCCCAATCATAAACACATTTTGAACCGAAGATGAACGTGGACAGCCGATCCATCCACGAATTGGTAGGTGGCCGATTGTGACGATAGTGGCTCGGTCTTGGACGAATCGAAGTCCCAGAAGGCCTACGGACACGATACTCCAAGGGATCCTGCCATGCATGACTGTTCCATCGAATGACTGCAATCGCCAGACGCAGCTCATACGACTTCTCAAAGTGCAAGGCCTTCTTCGCGTAAACGATGATTGTGCCCTGGAAGGTTTCAACCGTTGACGTGTGACAAAACTCCGTGTAGTACGAACAAACGGTCGTGCTGCAATGCCTGCCCAACGTTTGGCGAATGATGTCATACACGGGGTCGTCGTGCGTGTACAGAGGCAGCCGAGATGGGCCACCCGCCTTTGAGCATAGAAACTCTCTGTCCGCAACGCACCTGGTGTGGTCCCCGGCCCAATGGTCGGCGATCATCATGACATCATTGTGTCGAGTGACAAAGTCGCCGCCCTCATCTCTGCAAAGCAGGGAAGCACGAAGAAACCAATGCCCCACCTCATGCATATGGAACTCAGTCACACCATTTGCATCCACGACCAAAGATTTGTTGTTTTTCATTGTGCCCATACGGGTACATTTTGCTCATCACAAGAGCAACGAAGTCGCTCTTCTTCAATCGTTCTTCTTTTGCCGTCAAAGACCCTGGTCCAAAACGGTCCGTCAAGGCATCCAACAACTCCTTCTTCGTGAACTGCATAAACTGAGATTCCGACACGCACTGATAAGGGTTGTTCAATTTCCTTGGCAGTGTCACGACTTTTCTAAATGCCTTGCGAATGTTTTTTACCTTATGATGGCTATCCTTCTGCCATTCAATACCTAGGCGCTCCAACTGTGGACCCAATGCAGCACAATCGTCGGAGACAACACACCGGATTTTCAACCCCCTTGACAACAAGCCTCTCAACAGGCGCACAACAGCAGGAACCTCAAGTTGGTTCGACGCCTTTCCCTCATTTTTTGGCCGAAGAGTGTGAACACCCACCACAAGACGAGTATCACACTCAATCGCGGTAACACTACAATGCTGCGCAGACCTGGCCGAGTCGTAGCGACCGTCAACCATCAAAGTGACGGGTCTCCCTGATCGCATAACCGTGTCAATGGCCAAGTCGCAATACCGCACGCTATGCCTGACAACCTTTGCATTCCAACCTTCACACACATTCGGCTCACCGCGCATGCAACTGTAAAAAGTAGGCTTGTGCACAGGTGCCACCCCAAACGCGATGCAGAAGTCGTTGAGTACGGTATATGTCATACCCGCAGTGACGGACGCATGGAACAACTGCTGCTGAAGTCTGCAAGAGTACACAGCTCCCCCAACCAGTGCATTGTGCCATGTCCAACAACATGACTTCTTACAAGCGAGCGAAATGCGACAAATCTGCCCAGGATAACCGACAGAGGACACATCCACAGCACAACCGCCCCCGTGGCGCGGGCAACTCAAATCGAACAACCCGAGCAACTGCAACAACTTCACCGGCTCCACGAAGACGACATCAGGCGCTTCCGAGCCTCCCCAGCGACCCATCGATTTCAACACATGTTTAGACTGATTATTGCAAGGTCCGCTTTGCAAAGCACCATCCTTCGAATTGTCCCAGCACAAAGGACGTACATGTTCGAAACGCGAACGCGACCTACCACGGCTTGGTGGCCGCCCGCGCGATCAATGGCCACGCTGTGACCCGTGCCCTGAACGCGGTAGTGAATTATCTGACCCACAAAACGACCCGCCATTGCCTCCACCGCTCCCTTCACCCTCACGCTCGTCATCATCCTCAACGTCCTCTGTCGAATCATCCCCTCCTGCTCCGATACGAAACACATCTGCACGACTGTCGACCGATAGTGTTCTCTCGATCCTCGACGCCACACCGTCCCCGAACTCTGACCGGATGGCTGGCAATGACCAATGCAACAGTTCTCATGAGGCAAGTCTGGCTCTACATCTGGCATAGGGCAATCCACCTCCTTCTGAGCAGGCTGTGGAGGCCCCCTCGGACCACTTGACCCTCCTTCTCTTTCGTGCCTATGGGATCTGGGCTCCTTCCTTATGTCCTCCCTCAGAGTCCCTGATGAGCCGCCTTACTCAGAAGTCCTCCTCTCCTCTGCTTCTGGTTCCCTCTTTCTCTTGTCCATACCCCTTCTTTCACCTGGCTGGCGCGCTGGGGTATAATAATTCCACAACAGTTTCTTGCAATGACCCCAACTCATTGCAGGTGCCATGACAGACCTGACGAATGACCTGATGTGTCGCCTTACATATAACAGAAAGCTCCCCGCTCTCTGCTCCCCTGGAATATCCAGCTCGTCCGCATACCGGTCATAAGCTATAGAAATTCCCCCAGATTAGTGGAGTCGAATCGGATGGGCTGCCCATCTCTTACCACTGGTGATGGATGCAAACCCTCCATCTTCCTCTCACTCCTGCCAGGTTAATGACTCCCTGACAAAGCTGGCAATGGGGTCCGTCCACTCGCCTGTGCCTCACACCTCTCTCAACATCCTGGTGTCATCCCATCGAAACTCTCGAGCGTGCCTATCGAACTCTATCAAGAACAACTCGATGTTCCCTCCCTGGAAAAATGGAGGTCTGTCCTCTCTCCTGGTGCCCATCTTCGTCCTCTGTCTGGTCGCCCCCTGAGGGGTTTCCACCGGCTTTGCCCCTCCCCTCCCTTTTGGCATGGCTGCCCCAAGCAGTGTCAAGCCTGCACAACAAGGATGAGACAAACAGGAGCACACAGAGGGCAAGTGATGTCAGACAAAACACAACAGGAGACAGATATAGCCCTCTCACAACTATCCCAACTACCCGCCTATCTATATGCGCATACATACAAGAGTCTGACCAACAAGTCGCAACCTATCATGCTATTGTACTGAGAACTATATCCTGTATATTTTACTCATACTAATACATCTGTATAAAGCACTCAAAGGGATAATCCTAACTGGCGAGGTCCCTGCTCACCTTGTCTCGAGCAACAAACTTCTTCAGTCTGGAGCCTAACACCCAATCCTTTCACGCCGTCCTATTCAGCTCCTCAATCTGATACGCTCCGTGCTCACAACACCTGGTGATCTTGTAAGGCCCCAACCACCTCTTGTCCAGCTTCCGTGACCACTGCTTTTTCAGGGATGAGTCATATAACAGCACAATGTCTCCCACCTTGAGAGACTTTTTCCTTACTCTCGCCATCTTATCCCACCCGAACTTGTCCTTGCTACGGTTGGCCGCCACTCTACTTGCTGCTCCCTCAATTCTGTCCTCCATGACACCAATCTGACGTGCTCTTAAATCTAGTAGTTCCTCAAAGGTCAGATCAGTTTCGAGGTATTGCCGCCTCCACGTCTTCAGGAAGCCCTCGATAGGAAATGTAGCGTGTCTGCCATACCATAGTGTAGCCGACGCGTAGCCGGTGCTTCTCCTGACAGTGATATTGTCCACGAAGAAAGCGACTCTCAGAAAGTTCGGCCACTGATTGGGTCTGCCGTCAGTCCACTTGGCGAGAAGGTTTGTGATGGTGCTATGTCATCTTTCCACCGGTGCATTAGCTTGGGGGTGCGCCGCAGTAGTGTATTCGGCGATTACCCCATACCTCTTCAAAAGAGTCTTCACTTCAGCACAGGTGAACTCAAACCCACTGTCCATCACGAACCTGGAAACAAAGGGGTAGCGTATGTAATACTTTTCGATGCATTGGACCAGCGTTTCCCCAGTCTTCGTGTGAATGGCCTGGCCATCCACAAACCCCGAGAGGTTGTCCCGCGCATCAAAGATGAAATTGTAACTCCCTATCCCCAACGGCATTGCCAACAGATCCAGGTGCACGACCGCCCCAACTTCACGAACGTACCTTGGGTGCAGCGGCTCTCTAGGTTTAATAGAGGATCGTTCCTGGCATGGTACACAGGATTTATAGTAGTCATCGATCATCTGTCCCATGCCATCCGAGTAGTATAGTTCGTGTATTTTGAGGTAAGTCGTGTCAGTGCTCCTGTGACCCCCCGCCGTACCATCGTGTAGTGCCGCCATAATGTCAATCTGGCGAGCGACGCCGTAGACCACTCTTCTGGGAGCCTTCCCTTTGCTTCGCATGAACAGGTGGCCATCCCTTACTAGAAAGTTCGGCCTCATCTTCAGAACTCTTGTGCAAGCATCTCTTTCCCTCATCTCACACGACAGAAGCATTCCGAGTTCAAGGTATACTCCTTCATATTCCTCTGCCCGAAACACTTCCTTAATCTCTCATTCTTCAAAGTCATCATCTTCCCTCTCGTGGATCACATTGTCACCTCCTTCCTGCTCTACCACCTCTCCCTGATCTAGCACCGTATTCCTGACTGCCTCTTCCTGAAGCATCGCATTTGCCAGCAGATACACCCCACCTATCGTCTTCTCCTGCTTGCCCACCTGTAACGCCCCATCCTCAATCGTAAGCGAGTCCTCATGCAGTTGGTACTTGCCTGCGGTCAGATCCATCATCCAGTTTACGCTTGGCATTCCCCAAGAGTCTTCTTCGATATAGGGCTTAAGGACTAGGTCTGGTCATTGTGCATGTGCTGGTGGCGCAAGCCACACAGGTCGTCTAGGAGTAATATAGTTACCCATGGTCAATGACCAGGATTTGATGTGAAGCCTCACATCCTCCTCACTGTCCAAGAACCCGTCAACTGGTGGAGCATCTTCAACCACTCCTTGGATGTTCTTGTCTCAGTCGACTCGACTCAGCCCATCTGCTCTATTCGTGTTCCCCGGAATTCGCTCCAACTCGAAGTCGAACATCCAGATGTACGTTAGCCATCTGGCGATGGTCGGATCCGAGGGAGCGAAATTCTTGAGAGACCCAGCTAGAGAAGTAGGGTCCACCCTCAGTTCAAACCTGTTGCCGAAGAGGTAGTTCCTGAAAATCCTCAAGCAGTAAAGAACTCTCAAGGTCTCACACTTAAACTGGGAGTAGTTCCTCTCTGATGTGTTGAGCGTCCGACTCTCAAACCTTAGTGGTCGTTCTTCTCCATTGGAGTCTCGCTGAATCAACACACCTCCCAGCGCAGTTCGCCCTGCGTCCGAGACCTCCTTCTTCAAACTTTTTCTTCAGGCTCTCTATTACGGACTCCTGCTTATCTCCCCACTCCCAGTCTTGCCCTTGGCGTACAAGCTTTCGCAGCTGCTCCGTCTTTGCCGCAAACCCTTTTATGAAGATCCTCCAAAACCCACATGTCCCTAGAAAACTCCTCACCTCCGTGATAGTCTTGAACGATGTTGGCCACTCGAGAATCTTGTTGGTCTTCTTAGTGTCTGGTCGACGACCTCTCTCGTCGCACACAAACCCCAAGATAGTAGCTCTGCTCATACAGTGTCTGGACTTCGACCCACTGGCAGTAAGATTATGCTCCTTCAGAAGGTCAAGGACCTTGCACAAGTCTTACACATGACATTACCTCCTGCTCATCTTTCTCCTTAGGTCCCTTCACAACTAGATCATCAATGTGGGGCTGCGTGATGTGAGGACTTATGGGCTGCATCGCCCTCACCATATGTCTCTGGACCATTGCGATCGCATTCGTCCACCCTTGAGGTGCGACGTTCATATGAATCAACCCCCGAGGTGTATGCATAGCCATCATTGGTCTGTCTGATGGGTACACAGGGAAAGAATCATAACCTGAATATAAGTCAATGAGTGATATGATGGTTCTCCCAGCGCAGTCCTCTAAAAGCGCATCAGCGTTAGGGAGACCACCTGCGTCCCTTACTGTCACAGCGTTTAGGCACTGCAAATCCTGTACCCACCTCAAAGTCCAATTGGGTTTGACAAAGCAAAACCAGGGGGATGCATACGGTCCGCTTGAGTAGTCCGCCACATGAGTACGGATCTTCTCATCAAGGTAGTTGACTACCTTCTCTTCATCAGTTGGATTCAGATACCGCGCACCTCGCAAGTTCTAAGGCTCGTGAGGTACGGTGTGTATCCTAATCATGGGGATAATATCCACGTTCAGGCGATCTCTCTCGTCATCGCTGAAGGCATATGCATCGTGTCTTCCTCTTATGGTTTCCACCACAAGCTTTTCCTCTTGCGCCGTAAGGAAGCCAGACTCCCCTATGATCAGCGCTTTCTCTGTCTTGGGATCGATACGGTATGATCCATTCTCCGCTTTCTCTCGGATCTGTCGTATCAGCTCTCGTTCCCGCTCGTAATAGACTTCTTGCTCTTCGGTGACAAGTGCGGAAACAGGGCAGCATTTCTGGTCTACCCTTTTGTACCGCCTTTGTGCACCTTGCTTGAGCCCACCCCTAAAAAAGGTCGAGTTGCGCTTTGGAGTTGTGCTCCACTCGCTCCTCCTGTCTTCCCAGGCGTTCGATATACCAGCTCCATTTCTCCTGCGCCCATCTGTTCTACCACCTTTTCTCTCACTGCAAGGTTTCCACAGCCTCTGGGCCTGCCATCCCATAGGTTGATACTATATCCATAACATCACCTATGTTTGCCAAACTCAAGGTCAATGCCTCCGGCTCTCTTTTCTCCTCATACTTGCTGGCTTCAATCCTTAACCTCTCCTCTTCTGATTCTTTTATGGTGAACGAACCAGGATTGGGCCGGTTCCTTATGCTCCTAGGTCCTGTGTTCTTGCAGGTTATAACCTCGTAGTTTCTGCATACAGGATCGCACAGGACGAGGAACATAGTTCCGTCATGCTTGTTGAGTATGACGGTCTCTGTTCGGCTCAAGAACGACCTTCCTAGTAGGATGGGGTGATCCAAATCAGGCATCACGAAGAAACAACTTTTAACCTTCACCTTTCCAATTTCCAGAATTACTGATGATGCGGTCCCTATGAACACCGATCGACTGCTCGCCCCCATCAAAACCCCATTGTCCGAGCAGTCTATCTCCATTCCTAAACGCACAACATGTTCCTCCTTTATGAGGTTCATTTCTGCACCGCTGTCCACCATCGCAGTGCAAGTCTTCCCTTCCACCACTATATCGAGGCATTCACATGGGACCGACTTCCAATCCATTTTCGTACCCGTCTCAGCCCATTCAGCCTCCTTAGGGATTATAGTCCCTAATTGCACGCTGGCCACCATCTTCCTTGATAAACGCGCTCTCAGCTCGCCTCTGAGCCTTGGCGCTGAGGCTAGGACGTCCTTCAGGTTCATAAGATGATTATGACCTTCAAGAATCCTGTCCATGATCTCCTCTACGTCGAACCCTTCCTCCACTCGGACAACATACTTCTTCTTCTTCACATCCTGAGCCTTGTCCGTATCAGACTTGGCGCCCCTCTTTTTGACTCTTTACTCAACCTTTTCGTCATCTTCTTTCCTCAATTTGTCAACCTCGTTGTCCTCTCCTTCTGGGACGTCCACAACTTCCTTCTCTCCACTAGGTTCAGGAACATCCTTGGCTGGCTCTTCGGGGAAGGTCATTCCGGACCTTGGCGACGGCCCCGACGTCGTGATGTTTGGTAAGTTGCCAGACCCTCCTTGCGATCATGGGCCTAGGTCATAGAGGTATACCAGCGGCTCCTTACCTTTCCACTTTTCGGCCTCGTCACACATGTCGGACAACTTCTGCTGGTACCTCCCGACTTTAGCTATTAAGTCTTCCATTCTTTCCATTGTCTGTCGGCCCGCTTTCCAGTAGTCTTTCCCTGTCTCAGCGTGCCATGGCCTATTCCAACAATCTTCTTCTATCTCATCGTCTGATTCCACTATGATTGGTTCTTCCTTGAAGGTGCCAACTTTTCTCTCTTGCTCTACCTCTTCGTTCTCTCCTACCTCTTTCACCCTGATGTCATTGCGGACCTCTTTCTCTTGCCACATCCGGAACATGGCTGGAGGCGCGGGTGGCGCGCCGGCCTCGACTCCTCGTAGGGCCTCCTTCCTCATTCCACCAGGGATCTTTGGGTCAAGATAATACCCCCATTTGTTATATATGTCCCCGTCGTAGTTAGTGTTGATCAATCCTTCGTCTTCGTCATTTTTTCTGACATGGTAGAACTTGATAGTATGTCCTTTCTGTCCACAATGCCAGCAAATGGCATTTCTCCAGTCTATCCTCCCTCTACTAGAACCTCTTCCACCTTCTTGACCGCCCTGACTCCCTGACACAGTCTAGTCCCCACTTCCTCCGCCTGTAGAATTTCCACCACCGTTTCCTCTGCCATTTCCTCCCCGGCTACCATTTCCTCGCCCTCGGCCCCATCCTTGGTTATGTCCACGTCCGCTGCTTTGATTGCCTTGTGGCCCTTGTGGGGCTGACTGCTGAGGTTGGTTTGGCGGCGAAGTCGGGTGACTCACTTGCTGAGCTTGGGGTCCCGAACAGCCGCAGGAAGCCGTACTCATTGGCGCTCCGGCACATGACCCATGCGGCCCACTTACCGGCCATGGTGCGCATGGACAGTGCTCATGCCAAGGACTTGGAGGTCCGTAACCTGGCCACGGCCCATAGGGTGTTAGCGCGGCCTGACTAGGCGACTCAGGGGGTGGCAATGCTGTTGTTTGTGGGACCTGACCCCTTCCTGGGCCTTGCCCCCCTTGAGCCAAATTCCTCGCCTTTCTTTGAACCTTTGTCAACTTCTGAGGTTCCCGCTCTTCTTCCTTTTCTTCTTCCTCTTCCTGCACCACTGCTTTCTTCGCTTTTCCTACGGTCTGTGGTGCCGCCATGGTTTTTCTTTTTGCCTCTTTCTCTGCAGCGAGTTGGGCCACTGCATCTTCTATTTTCTTAAAGTCTCGCCCGTCACTCGTCGTGGCGTCCGAGGCCTTTCTTTTCTTCCTAGCCTGTCGCATTTGAAAGATATCAACCTGGTCCAGTTCTACTTCTAGCACGCCCTCTTTAAT